TTCCCTGCTCAAACAAAATTCTTTCAGAACTGTATTCGCCTGTTGTACTCAATATTTAGCTGTGTGAGGTCAATTGAAGTTGCATAGATGCATGCACGTCAAATGTGTGTGTGTGCGTGTGTGTGTTTTGTTTTTTGTGTGTGGTCTGTCTCTGTGTTTGTGTTTATACCAATTACAGAATGCCGGCTGACCGCAGAATATAGCTGGCAGAATATTAGAATCTTCCACAGTGGCTGTTCACTGAAGATCAACCTCAAAACCATCTCTCACTGACAGGATAAAAAACAGGTATGTTAAAAATGACATATTGCATTACTGTACTCTATTATTATGAATTGGCTAATTTAGCTCAAGAGAAGGAACTGGCTTAAATGGACCTAAATGCAGCCTGGAAATATATTATTGCTTTTATGTTTAGAAGATCCGGAGTAACATGACCTTTAAATGTTTTTTAGCAAACAGCCCTGCTCATTTAAGACCCATAAATCTTGTAAGGAAGTTCTCAGCAGACAGATAAGCCTTCTTAAGTGCAAACACCCAAACACACACTCTTACTTACACTGTGCTATTTTAGCTAACTAAAACTGTGCTTATTTAGTTTTAAATAAATGTTAACTGAAATAAAATATAGAAAAAAACATTAAAAATCTCCAAAAAATGTCATCTAGTTGCTAAGGCAGCTTTCCTTATTTTAATTTAGTTAAATGTGATGTACTAAAATAATTAAACTGAAATAAAAATGAATAAAAATATAAAATAAAAACTACTAAAAATAACAAAAATACTCCGCAAAATTACTAAAACTTAAAAAAATTGCAAATTAAAAAATATGACTCAAAATATTATAAAAAATTATAATAGCATCTCAGTTATACAAAGATAGTACTGTGCACAACATGCAGCATTTTTCTTTCAATTTTGTATGCATATTCATTCAAATGACATCCTTTAATTGAAATCTGGAGTTATTGTTAGAATTTGCTAATATTTCACATTATCAGGAGTATTCATTTAGCTCTATCAAATTAAATCAATACAAATTGACTTTGCATCCTTATTTTTCAACATTTGGCTTATAACTGGAATATTTTGGATCCCACATGACTTGTTTTAAGCAACAGAAGAGGATTAAAAGTGAATTAAAGACTGAAAAAATCTGAAAAATAATCACATAATTATATAAAACTTTAATGTTTCCACCATTGTGTCAAAGTGAAGACAAACACTCGTGCTAAGATGTCTGAGCATGCACACAGATCTTTTAAAGTTGTTTGCCACCAGTTATACAAGACTATTACACAAGTTATTTGGAGCATCTCACTCTCTCTTATACAGAAGTCAAGACAAGCCAAAAATAGACTTCAGGACCATTTGAGCTGACAAAACCTGGTCATGCTTTGTTCTCTTATTATTTTGATTATTCACTATTGCATTTGAGACAAAGATAAGAAAGCATGTCATCCTACCTGTCCCATCTAACTGTTCTTCAGGTCCAGATGTCCAGATTTTCTCTCCAAATTACATTATTACCATCCACAGAACTCTTTATTTTCTATGTGACTGTGTAAAAGAGAGTTCGAGTACAGAGTATGTCTGTGACTTGTGTATGAGAGTCCACCGCATGTCAGTGTTTGGATGAGCTGCGAGAGGTGGATTAGTCCGAGGTTTAGTGTTCAAACTCACTGGATCAGAGCCAAGTTAAGAGGTCAAAACAAATGCCTCTGCTGGGTCTAACCATCATCCTAGGCAGGGGTGTAGCCATCATTTCAGAAGTGAGGGGGACAGAAATGTTATATATATATATAATAACATTACAATATAACATTTCTGTAATCTATATAACCTACCAGTCAACAGTTTTTGAACAGTGAGATTTTTAATGTTTTATAAAGAAGTCTCTTCTGCTCACCAAGCCTGCATTTATTTGATTCAAAGTACAGCAAAAGCAGTAATCTTGTGAAATATTTTTACTATTTAAAGGGGTCAAAGGATTTAAAGGATGCTTTTTTAAAGATCATTATTTTGTGTATTTGGTGTAACAGAATATGTTGACATGCTTTAATGTTCAAAAAACACATTATTTTTCAAATACTGTACATTATTGTAAGTCCTCTATGCCCCGCCTCTCTCAAACGCTT